TCTCCTGCCCGAGAAGCTCTTCAGACTTTAGGGGGGCTGGACTGTGGCCAATGCGAGTAGAAAATGCCCCAGCATCAGTGTCAGTAGACAACATCCCAAGATTGGTGGTCACTGGGAGTTAAAAAAAAAAATTACAAAGCACCTGTGGTCAGTGCAGGAGGAATCATTGATGTCAGGAGGAATAGTGCCTTGTATCAATTGGAGGAACATTGCTCCAAGGGCCAGATGAAGGCAAGCAAAGGGCCACATCTGGCCCACGGGTTGCAGTTTTGGAGACCACTACCCTAGATGATCTTACAATGAGGATATTTAACTATGAGGCCGTAGTCACAGGAGCACTTTGGCGAAGGAAAAGCATTGCTCTTTTCCAGAAGAAATTCAAGACAAAAGCTTCACTTTTTGAGTTTAGGTCCATTTAAAAGCCCAACTGAACTTCCAGTTGAAATTAGCTAAATATATTTCAGGGGAAACAAAACAGAAAGTTTGCAAAGTTTTACAGTTGGTTTTCTTATGAAAGCAATTACTGCCTGAGAAGAAAAGTCTGCCCCCCCCCCCCCCCCGGCATGCTGCAGAAAAGCACTCTTGCTCTCCATGTAGAAGCAGTGGTCTCTCTTTAGTGGTCCCACACACCACCTGCTGAGGCAGATATTAAGAAACTTTATGCTCATTGCTGATTGGAGAGCTCTATCTCTGACTCAGCATGAAGTGTGTCAGACTTCTGCAGACTTTCATACTAAGGATATGGCAGAGGTTAAGTTAAAGCAAACCTGTTATTTTGGCCTGATACTTAAAAATATCCTCATTTTCTATACAGACAGTCCCTGAGTTACAAACATCCAACTTACATACAACTCGTACTTAAGAACAGAGGCAGCTTGATGTCACTCTGGTCCCAGAAATCGTCAGGTGGCCATCTTGCTGCTCACCGCATGTTGCAACCCACTGTCTGGCGGACATGTCAGCAATCCCACATCACTGCATGGCGAGTTAACCCTTCCCTATTCCATCCAAAACGTAAAAATTATTTTTTGGCTGGAGTTACACTTAAAAAATTTACTTTTTCCAACTTACATACAAATTCAGCTTAAAAACAAACCTACAGAACCTATCTTGTTCGTAACCCGGGGACTGCATGTATATATTTTTATGTACTATACAATGCAGTGTACACCATTTCAATTTTCCTAATCCTTTTGTTTGTTTACAGCGTCTTTTCCATTGAGGAAAGCTTAATCCCATGTAACAAGAATTCTGTGGATCTTTCAAATCAGTTTTCCAGGGCTCCTATCAAGAAACACCAGCTGTTATTAAAACATTTCTGAATCAAGCAATACTGACATTAAGCACAAAGATTACTGTACAGATTATTGTTCCTTAAAATAACATTATTTTCAAGTTGGTGATAACTATAGTCTCTGTAGGCATCTTTTGAGGAAATAAGGAAAAACAGCCATTAACCATAATGCTTTATGAGAACAGTTAAGCACCAGCATTTTTGCAGAAAAAAGGGATAACATACCAGGTGATGTTTAAGTCTGTGAATTGTAAATTTTTAGAACCCTTATAATCGTTAAAAAAGGAATAGAGTTAAAGGTAGGAGCTTAAACAATCTTAACAAAATAAACATTCAGTGGAAAAGGTGTGGATGGTTTCTAGGAAATGTTTGCAATGGGCTTTATACTTAGACCCAGCATCGGTTTAGATTTACTAAACTGGTGTGCTCAGAATTTAGTGCAGCTGTGCATGGTAGCCAATCAGCTTCTAACCTCAGCTTGTTCAATTAAGCTTTGGCTAAGTTGCACCATTATTTTCACTGTCCAGTTTTAGTAAATAACTCCCATTGTCTTAATCTTTTGACTTTCAAGCAGGCCCATACTGGCCATAGGGCACATTGGGCATTGCCTGGTGGGTCAGTCCGCCATGCTCAACCTCCCAGCTGGTACCGGTCAGTGGCCTGTTGATGACTGGGCCACATAGCGGGAGGTAAGTGGCAACCGTGGCCGTGCCTGTGTCTCCTCTCCTGTTCCACTGTGAGAGGAGCTAGAGATCTTCACTGACACCCTCCCCCCCTTCCCCACTGATCCAGCCCTAATCCCCTGGAGCAGTGCACAGATCAAACACAGAAGACTGAAGAGCAATGACACTTCAGGAGGAGCATTCAGGGACCACAAACCATGCCCGGTCATAGGCAGCAGAGCAGGACCACACCATGCCCGGTCATAGGCTGCAGAGCGACGACAAGTGACCTGTGGAGAGCCAGAAGAAATAGTGGTACAGAGAGAGGCCCCAAGAGTGTGTAAGAGAGAAATCTACTACAGAGAGAAATAGATATCTAAGAGAGAGAGAAATAGAAGGATAGAGAGAGAGAGAGAAGGGAGTGAGAGAGAGAAGAGAGAGAGAGAGAAGGAAAGAGTGGAGAGAGAGAGAGAGAGGGGGGGGAGAAAGAAAGAGAGAGGAGAGGAGAGAGAGAGAGAAAGAGAGAGGAGGGAAGGAACGAGGGAGAGAGAGAGGAGAGAGAGAGAGAGAGAGAAAAGAAAGAGAGAGAGAGAGAAGAGAGAGCGGAGAGAAAGAAGGAGAGAGAATAATAGAGGAGAGAGAGAGGGAGCGAGAGAGAGGAGGGGGGAGAAGGAGAGAACAGAGAGAGAATGAGAGAGAGAGTAGGAGTGAGAGAAGGAGAGAGAGAAGAGAGAGAGAGAAAGAGAGGAGAGGAGAAGGAGAGACGAGTGGGGAGGGGGAGAGAAAGAGAGAGGAGAGAGAGAGAGAGAGAGAGGGGGGGAGAAAGATGAAAGAGCAGAGAGAGAGAAGGAGAGAGACGGAGAGAGAAAGAGAGAGAGGGAGAGACAGAGAGAAGGAGAGAGATGAGAGAGTGGAGAGAGAGAAAGAGAGAATAATAGAGTGGAAAAGAGAGAGGAGAAGAGGGAGAGAGAGAGGGCAGAGAGAGAAAGGAAGAGAGAGAGATGGAGAGAGTGGAGAGAGAGAGTGGAGAGAGTGGAGAGGGAGAGAGAGAGAGGGGAGAGAAGGAGAGGGAGAGAGAAGAGGGAGAGAGAGAGAGAGAGACAGAGAAGGAGAGAGAGACGGAGAGAGAGGAGAGGAGAGAAAAGAAGCAGCTAGATCTGACAGAATGAAAGGTCCCATATTTAAAGAGAGAGTGAAATATTTAGATAGACCTGTTATACAGAGTGCTCAAAGAGGGGGGAGGATGCTTGTGTTTCCTCTCCAGGGAGCCCCACCCATCTGCACATTGGGAGCCTTTTCGTATTCACAAGCTCAGGCTTATTAATATGATCCAGATCAGAAATAGGATGACATCGTCAGTGGGGCAGGAGACCCTATGAACCCTGCCTCTGCCCTGTCAAAAGTAGGACTGTGCAGGGGAGGCAGAGTGTAAAAGGGGCCTGTGATTAGAGAGAAAAGAGGCAGGGGCATGACTGCAGGGGGCACTGTGATCGGGCACTGTGATATAAAGGGGACTAAACTGTAATCATTTCATCATTTCAGTGCCCCTTTACATTACAGTGCAGAGGACCTAAGGACCTACTCTGTGAATATCCCATCACCACCGTAAATGCCCGCTAGCTCACCCCAGAAAAATTGGCTGCTCAGTCAAAATGCCCGGGCCTATTTTTTGTCCCAATTTGGGCCTGCTTTCAAGGATGCATTCCATACATCATGATGGTACCTTATCGTCTTATCCTAGATAGGCAACGATGCACGCACATGTGTACGAATCTATGCTCCTAGACAGTCTTCTTCCAGGATTGTGCATCCATACACATGCATGTGTTCACGTAAGTTATGGTGTAAACCTGTACAAAGCCATTTTTTCTATAAACAGCACTTGTAGATCCCAATCAGGAAAATATGCTTGAATTTTACGTTTTAGAGCCACTGTCACCAAGACAAAAAGTAATTTACAATCCAACATTTTGAGAGTTTAGAGAACAAAAATAGAGGGAAAATCTTCCAGTGAGGACACTTGTACAGATGATAGCTGTCTAAGAGGCAATTTTGCTCCTTTTATGCCTCATTCACATGGAGCAGTTACATTTTCTACTGACACCATGATGTAGAAGTGTTGCATGCATCCTCGTTCTGGCAGTCCCATTCATGTCTTTTGGGACACAGCAGCTTAATGGGCACATCTGTGTGGGTGTGGGGGCATGTCCCCAAATTAACCCTGGGAGCATCCAGAGTGTACCCGCACATATGTCATATCTGGAGCAGCAGCTGTGTCTGTGAAGCTGCTGTGTCCCAATAGACATGAACAGGACTGTTGCTGTTGGGATGCACGGAACACATGTGCATCCCTGTGGTGGTAAAACATGGTCCTTCATGGGGCTCAGATGTAATCCCCTCGTGTGATAGAGGCCTTACAGACATTTCATCTCACTTTATGCTAGGTCTACAGAACAGAAAATGAAGGGACACCTCCCAAATAACACAAAGTTGGCAAAAAAAACCTAATAGTAACTTACACTATTCTATACTGTATACAAAACAAAGAAAAATGTTTTGGTTTTAACCACTAGCCTACTGGGCACTTATACTCCCTTCCTGCTCAGGCCAATTTTCAGCTTTAGGCGCTGTCACACTTTGAATGACAATTGCACGGTCATGCAACACTGTATCCATATGAAATTTTTATAATTTTTTTTGTGACAGATAGAGCTTTATTTTGGTGGCATTTAATCACTTCTGGGTTTTTAATTTTTTCTTAAACAAACCAAAAACCACTGAAAATTTTGAACATAAAATGTTTTTTTCTTAGTTTTTGTTATAAAATTTTGTAAATAAGTGATTTTTCTCCTTCACTGATGTGCGCTAATGAGGCTGTAGTGATGGGCACTGATAAGCTGCACTGATGGACACTGATAGGTGGCACTGATGGGCACTGATGAGTAGGCACTGGTAGGTTGCACTGATGGGCATTGACAGGCATCACTGATGGGCACGAAAGGCAGCACTGATATATGGCACTGATAGGCGACACTGATAGACGGCACTGATAGGTGGCACTGATAGGTGGCACTGACTGGCCCTGTTAGGTGGCACTGACTGGCACTGTTAGGAGGCACTGACTAGCACTGATAGGTGGCACTGACTGGCACTGATAGGTGGCACTGAGTGACAGCACTGATAGGTGGCACTGATTGGCATTGATAGGTGGCACAGACTGGCACTAATGGGTGACACTGAAGGGCAGCTCAGATGGGCACTGATATGTGGCATTGATGTGCACTGGTAGGCACTGATATGTGGCATTGATGTGGCACTGTTCAGCACTGACAGCTGGCACTGATGGACACTGACAGGTGGCACTTCTGGGGCCACACTGATCATCAGGGCACACTGATCATCAGTGCCCTGATGATCAGTGTACATGTCCCCTCCGCGGAATGCAAATTACCGGCTCTCCTCTCCTCTCGAGCTGTCAGCGTGACAGCTCAAGAGGAGAGAAATGCCGATAACTGACATTTCCCTGTTTACATGTGATCAGCTGTGATTGGACACAGCTGATCACATGACCAAGCCGACATCTTCGGCTCTTTCAGTGGATCGGTGATCCGCTGTGTCCGAGGGACACAGAGCACCACCGATGTGCGGTGAGTATGGAAGGCCGTCATAAGAACGAGAGAACCACCTTGCGCCCATCATTGGACTATATGGCGGGCGGGAGGTGGTTAAGGTTAGGGGTTAATTATTATTTATTTTACATTTAATTATTCATATATAATTACTATATTTTTTAAAACATATTTTCATTTGAGCAGACAATCACGCAAAACTTGTGTAAAAACACATAAAAATGGGCCAATTGCGCATTTATATTCTTTTCTATGAGAATAAAAGTGTGCAAATCTGCCCAATTTGAGCTACAAAAGTAGCTTCAAAACTTTTTTGAGTTTCAGGCGTTTTGCTTCAGGTGACTTGGAGTGGAGATGTGAACCATCTCCATAGAGTAATATTGATTTTTTTTTTCCCCCCATGAGCATTTTGGAGCTTCGAGCTACAAAACGCTCAGGTGTTAATGGGGATTTAGTAAATTGACCCCAATGTGAGTAAAATGGTCTGCCAACACATTAGGTCTGATTTATTTCATATGGGTACAGTGTTGCATGACCGCGCAATTGTCATTCAAAGTGCGACAGTGCTGAGAGCTGGAAATTGGCCTTGGTAGGAAGGGGGTATAAGTGCCCTGTAGGTAAGCGGTTAAAAAAGGGTTAGGGTTGTTTTTGTTGGTTTGTTTGTTTGTTTGTTTGGTTGGTTGTTGTTTGGTTGGTTGGTTGTTAGTTTGGTTGTTGGTTTGGTTGTTGTTGGTTTGTTTGTTTGGTTGGTTGGTTTGTTTGAATGTTTGTTTGTTTGTTTGTTTGTTTGGTTGCTGTTTGGTTTGTTTGTTTGTTGTTGTTGTTTTGTTGGTTTTTTGTTTGGTTGGTTGTTGTTTTTTTAACTTTTTTAGGTTTTAGGGCATTTAGGTTATGGGTTAATTTTTTAAAATGTAATGTTACATGCATTTATTTATAATTATTTTTATTTGCGTATTTTTTTATTTATTATTATTATTGTTGTTGTTGTTATTATTATATTTATGTTTGGGATTAGGTGTGTATTATTATTATTATTATTAACAATAATAATAATTACAAAAATACAAAAAATTATTATAATTTTTTTTGTTTGGGTGTAGGTGTTTATTATTATTATTATTATTATTATTAATAATAATAATAATTTGATATATTTTTTAAGGTTTAGGGGGTTGAGGTCAGAGGTTAATTATTATTTATTTATTATTACATAGCATTTATTTATGATTATTTTTATTTACGTGTGTATTTATTTAACATTTATTTTATTATTATTATTATCATCATCAGCTATTTAAATCCGGTATAATAATAATAATAATAATCACCCTAACAAACAAAATAAACAAATAATAAACTAATAAAATAATTAATAATGTATTAATAATAATAATAATAAAAAAAAACTAAACTATTAATAATAATAATAATAATAATTATTATTATAATAATAATAAAAATAAAAGCTGATGGAAAAGCTGAAGCAGAAAAACCTAGCAACAAATGATGCAACAGATGATATTTTTTCTCTATTGGCTAATAAAAAAACAGCAAAGCTCAACTACGCTGTATGAAAACGTGCAAAAACGCACAAAATGCACGAAAAAAAACACGCAAAACACTACACTCAGATATGAATGGAGCCTGAAGGTTACCATAAATATAGAATTAAGACCACGTGTTGCTTTTGGATGATAAGGCTCCCCTATTGATATGCAAATGAACCTGTTGGACTTATTTATGAGCTCAGCACAGGAAGTCAGGCTACAGGATATGATGTAGCATGAAATAGGGGGAGGGAAATAGAACTTTGAAAGGTCATGTGCTCAGACAAAGAGTTGTTCTGAAAGACAAAGAAGCAACAGTTGTTCTGGAGACCGAGAAGGACTTCTGAGGAAATAGATGCTTTGTGCTGGACTCTGAAGGAAGAAACCATGAAGAAGATTCCATCAATGGAAAACTTAAGTTAGCTAGCTGATTAGTATACTTATACATCACATACATGGTCCATGGTTATTTGTTGGGAAGGATAGTTTGGGTATGTGTATATTGTATGCATGTTTTGTTATACTTTGCATGCTATGAAATGCGTTTCCTGCAGTTGTATGTGCAGCCTTTTTGTATAGTAAAGCACATTAATACAATACAGAGTCGTAATTACTTCCTTGGGTTCACTGCAAAAACCTTAACAGACCAAGTCAGAACAATTGGGGGCTCATCCAGGACTTGCACTGCAGTTCAACTGAAGAAGACCTGTTTTCTGTGGTGTGTTCTGTTGCTTGAGCCAAGGAAAGATGGTGCATATGTTTAGGAAACGTAAAGCTGCAGAGATTTCTGGTGTTCAGGTGTGGTGCACCCAGGGGCGGACTGACAACTCATGGGGCCCCCGGGCAATAGGAAATCATGAGGCCCCCTGTGTCCTCGCCCACACTCAAACCACACCCAAAAAAGCTTATGAAAGGTTCCAGGGGCATCTCATGGGGCCCCTTAATGACCCCGGGCCCTCGGGCAGTGCCCGAGTGGCTAAATGGTCAGTAAGCCCCTGGGTGCACCCTGCCTACCTGGGCCAGATACAGTAAGTGGATGTCTGTTGGAAAGAAGCTTGCTAGGTATGCTTCTCCTTTCAACAGTGTGGAGTGATGGAGTCTTTGATTTTTGCTGTTTTAGTCTTGGAAGTTTTGGATTCAGTAGGGGAGAGATGTGGGTAGCTGTGTTTGGTTTGCACTTCCTGCATGCTTTACGTATTAAATCTGAAAAGAGGAAAAATGCAGAGTCTGAAAAAGACTTATTGAAAGAGCAGCTTTCAGGGGCAATGGAGTGTTTGGAAGACACTGCAAGCCAGGCAAAGGGATTGGTACAGAACATACAATCTGCTTTGTATTTTACTCTTTTAAGGTAATGAACATCAAAGAGGGGGAGCAAGCAGAGCAGATGACCAGGCCAGATGGGATGAGGCAGACCAAAAGAGGAGATGAGAACATGAGGAAGATGCGGATGATTTCCTGATGATGGCTGAATTGCAGTGGACTTTCATCTGAGAATTTCCTTATGAACTGGAGGACAAGGGACTTACCTGACAGTGGTGGGTGCTGCTGTCAGAATGCAGTATCCACCTAGTTTTCGTGGATGGAGAAATCAATCCCTTTTTTTTCATGAAGCCTGCTGGTGGAACGAACAAAAACATTCATGGCCAGCTTTAGAGCCCCATCTTGATGTTTTCAAAGGGAGCTGCTCATCTAAATAGATGCAATGTTCAACACTGGGACTAATTCAGTGATTAGCAGAGGAAGAACCATGTGTCACAATCGTGGAGTCAAACCCCAGACCTTCTCACCAAACTCGTGACCGAAGGACTGGCCAATCCAAACCGCGATGTGACGTGTGTAACAATACCACGCCCAGCTGCACCCTGCACAAAGATTTTCCAGCTAATGACTACAATCTATGTACCTGCAACCTGAGCGATTGTTACTGGGTCCGGTTAATTACGCAACTACTCCTCCACACTGCCACCACCTCCTTTTTATACAGAGAAAGAGGAAACTCGCGTTATCAGTTATAACACTATAATGATTGAAATGATCGTCTGTATAAAACGGTCCGCAGGCCGGTTATACAGAGGTTTAAACAAACAGTAGCGTCTCTTCAAAGGCAGGGATTCATAAATTGCAATTAAGAACTATAGAAACAGTTCAACACTTTCAGAAAGAGAGATTTATTACTAAAAGGGTCAAACAGGTGCAATAAAATATTTACAGAGAAGATGTAACTAAGATATATATATATAAATATACAGAGAACCATAGCACAGTAAAGAGATATCAGAGAGAGGTGAAAGGCTTGAAGTACTTGCCAAAGTCCTGGGTTTAGCAGATCCAAGTCAGAGCAGGAGGGTGCTTTGATCTCCATATGTTACGATGGAAAAATGGGAGACTTCTTCAACTCACTTCTCTTAGGCTTGACAGCCTGCTTTAAAGTTTTGCAGCAGGGGGTGGTTCTGAGTAACTGACCAATACACTGTTTAGGGAGGGATCGGCAGGCGGAACCCAAAATTGGAACCAACATCTTTCCTAATTCATATTCTGGTCTATAACTTCCCAGCTGCACACGCGACAATTTACCTGCAGGTATATTATTATGCAGACAAGTCTGAGGATTATCTAGATATGAATTATGAAATTCTGTGTTGCACGGTTCACAAGTTCTATGTTTCGGCTCCCCTGATGGTCCGAGATAATTCGAATGACTCATCAAACTGTTCGCCTGCTCCTAGCCAATCTGATGGGATGTCTGGTTTTTATATAAGTCTCTCATATTCCAAGATATGAGACATAGTGGAAAAATGAAGTTTAACAGAGTTTATCTGATTTTATCACCTCCACTGAGTTCTGCTCATCAGGTCAGCATTTCTTTCAACTTCTGGGAAGGCTCGTTATCTGTTTTATGAGGTGTGAAACTACACAGGCAGCTTGGTCAGTGAAGCTCCAATTCTCTTGGGAACTCTGGCCTTATCCTGGCCTAGGTGAGAAAGGCTACACTTTCGCAGACCGCTCTGCACCGAGCTAGAAATGCCTTGCCCGGCCAGTGACCCATAAACAGTACACATACACACACTGGCCAGAGGTCTCCTCTCAATGAGAGGGAGGGGTGGAAAGATGAGGGGAGAAAATGGAGATGCCTAACAAAATGGTTGAACCGCCTCCATCTCTGATGTGCATGTTTGCGACACCATGTTAGTGGTTTTAAAAAGTTTACAGTTAGGTCCATATATATTTGGACAAAGGCACAATTTTAGATTTTTTAAGTTATTTACCAAAACATATTCAAGTTATAGTTCTATAATGGATATGGGTTGATATTGCACACTCCCAGGTTTAATTCGAGGGTATGTACATTCAAATTGGAGGAAGGGTTTAGGAATTACTGCTCTTAAGAGTAGCCATCCCCCCTTTTTCAAGGGACCAAAAGTAATTGGACAATTGAATCAAAAGCTGTTTCATGGCCAGGTGTGGGCTACTCCTTTGTTAATTAACAGTCAGTTAAGCAGGTAAAAGATCTGGAGTTGATTCTAAGTGTGGTACTTGCATTTGGAATCTATTGC